TCTGTCATGTAACACCCTAGACCAAACCTTGTTAATGAAGTTGCTGAAACTAATAGGTCTTAAGTCAGAGAAGGTCTCAACTCTAGGTGTCTTGGGCAGCAACACTAGATTGGTATGAGTGATGGATTTAGGCAATGCAGCTCCTCCATAGATCCTCTTCTTTCAAACTAGATTGGTTTGAACAATCTTCCTCCAATCAGAATGTTAGACCTGTTTGAGTATTCTTGATAACAGCACTGATAGTGTGAGATTTTAGAATTAGAAGTTAGAAAGGGGGAGAATTGATTCGTATGAGGAAAGAAAACAAGTTCAAGTATTGATAGTTAAAGCCTTGTTTAATAGTAAAAGAAGCAGTGAATCAATTAAGAAGAAGAAGAGTAAGAGGGAGGGAACGCAAACGAGGAATCTTACCGTTAAAGGATCCAAGATACAGTTCAAAGTAGAACAAAAAGGGCGAACCCTAAAGAGAATCTCAAAGTCCTCCACAAGCCACAAGGGTAGTAATATTAATATTCATCAAACTTCATTACAATGAAGAAGAAAACACTCCTTTATATAAGAGTAAATGGTGGCTGCCACCATAAAGAAAAAACCCTAAAAGAACATTCTAAGCTTCAAAGATAGTCAAACTAAATTAAATAAATTGAGTTTCTTAGGTGCACAGAAGATTACCCACACTTTGTTCAATGTAGTCAATATTGAATACTATCCATACTTTGTTCAATATAGTCAACATTGAAGACTACCCAGACATAGTTCAATGTAGCTAACATTGGCTAAGAAAGCATTAATGAAATATTCTAGAAACTAGGTTAAATTAACTAGTTTGGGCTGCTAAAGTTGTTTCTTGTTTGGGCTGACTTGGGCCCCATTCCACCTCCCTTTCGACTTTAATTTGGGCCTCCAAATAGTTGTATGTCTTGTCCAAAATGTCTTCATTGGGCTAGAGCTCTTCTCCCACCATAAGACACCTTTTAATTGCGATCGAGCTATTAAAATCGAAGTCTCGAATTAGTTTCTTCTCGTTATACTTCAAAAAATAAGGGGTCTATCTGTATACGGTCGAAATCGGGCATACCTGATTTCGTTGGTAGGAGAATTGCCTCAAGGGTAACCTCATAATAGATCGGGCTCGAGCTCGAAGATAGAACATCAAGCTTGGATATCGAAGTATTCATTGAGATCGAGGCCAGCAACAATCGAGATCAAGCATGACTGACTTCGAGTAAAGTGTAATAACGGAATGGAGAGATATCAGTAACCAGTCGAAGATCACGGCGAAAATCCCGGAACAGATCAAATCAAAGCGGTTATTAGTGCCAATCATGGGATCTATTTCCGTTATTAGAGTTGTACCTTATTTAGGATTCCTCTATTATATAAAGAGGGATCCCATTCACTTGTAAGCGCGACAATCATTATTCACTGATAAGAATATACACATACGCTGCTATCTTTGTTTTACTTATTAATCATCGTTGTTTGTTCCATCCCTATTGTTCTTATTAACTAACCTCGAGACTATCTCGAATCGAGGTCGAGGCATTGTTTGCAGACCGGTTTGATTATTTTATTGTCCAATTTATCTATTTAATTCGTTGTTTATCAATTGGTACTGGTTTAAATCACATATCCTTAAAACCGCAATATAAGTTTAATTGTTACTCAATTTTTAGGGTAAACATTTCTCATATTAAAAATATTATTTAATCTTCTTAAAACTCTACAAACTTGCGACGTTCAAATTTGCTTTTACAAGTTCTTCTATCTTCAAAAAATCGTAGAGGTCATAGAAAATTTGAAATATTATTGCAAGCAATATGAATATAAATCAACACGTTATGGCTATTATGTCTGGATTTCTAAAGCAAAAAACAAGACCCTTATGAAGAAATTAAAATATGGCATCTATGGGCTTTTTTGGAGTAAGATTTTATCCTTTCTTTGACTTAGGCATGATGAACACTTCATTTTGAGAAATTACAACTTTTATTTTATTTTGTAACTCAAACATAACAAAATTTACTTAGTAATATGGAGTTCGCACACGCGTACCATAAGACTAGGACCTTAAAAAGCACGAACCTCTTTAGCGAATATTGTTCACCTTTTTTATCCTTTAAAATTAAATTTACATTTTATAAGATCGGAATTAGTTATTTTTTAAATATTTAGGAATTTAAAAATAATTTAAATATTTTTTATTAAATTATTCCTTACGTGATCTAGGTATGAAGTCCTAATATTTAGGACATTAAACTTTGTTTAAACTTTACCTTATTTAATCTTTACACAAAAATTAAAAACGACTAACTCTCCAAAATCAGCAACTAAACCACAAAATTTTACCACGTTTGCTCACCCCTATTCTTTCATTAAGGGTCTGTTTGGAAAGCCGCCTGATAATTGGAATTGGTGTAATTACTATGGTAGTAATTACACAGCCTAGTAATTACATAATATAGTAATTACGACGACCTGTTTGTTTGTCATAACGTAATTATAGTATAATTACAAGCGTACTGTCTAGTTGCACAAATATAATGTACAAAAAAAATATTTTTTTAATTTTAAAAAGAAATTAAAAAGTAAAATAAAATAAAAATTAAAATAATGGAAATAAAAAGTTATAAAGAAAATAAATTAAAATAAAAAAAAAGGAAAGAAATTAAAAAGCAATTTGTGGTAATTAAACAGTGTAATTACCACCAATTCTCACCTCTCCCTTGAGAATTGGAGAGTGTAATTACACTCCTTCAATTACACACAATTTCATACTGATCAAGTAATTACTTGGCCAGATAAATATGCTAAACTGTATAATTATACCCAAATTCAATTCTTAGGTGGCTTTCCAAACATGTTTTAATAGAAAATACCATAATCCAATAAAATACTATACTTAATTAATGCTTTAGTAGGCGTTCAGTAACCATAATAAATAGGCCCGGCTTTTGAATATATTACTTTCTTATTCCACCATTAGTTTTGTTTATATATTATAATCGCTTGCATGATATGCAAATAATATTGCGCATTAACAAGAGATTTTGACAAAGTTAACCGCTCGGCAAAAACTATAAATAGCCGCTAGCCCACAATTGCACATGTAGCCAAAAAAAAAATAAATTATGTTAACCACTGTGCCGCCCCTAGCCTCAGCTTTCTTATACAAAATTATAATTTACTATTAGGATAATTTCAGAGATTGACATCCCTTAAACTAGTTTTTAATATTACGTTTACTTTATTTATTTTAATTTTTTGTGTAATAATTCTTTTAACTTATTTTTTAGTAATGTAGATAAATAGGAGTATAAGATAAATGTACCCTTTTCTATATTAAACTCTTGCAATTGATAGATTCTATCAAACTAACGTATTTAACAAATTTTTTAAGGATAACAATCACAGTAACGGTCCAATCTATCAATAGTCAATATCTGCCACCCACCTACGACCACCCCGCCACCAAGAAAAGAGGAGAAAACAAAAACCAACAAACAAAAGCATAAATTTATGAAACATAAAGATATGAACTCTTGAATCTTTTTCTAGATAAGGGAGACAATTTATACATATAATTATACAAAATAAACTATCACTATACAAAAATTATACAAAATAGACTGTCACTATACAATTTATATACAATAGACTGTCACTATACAAAATATATACAAAATAGACTGTCATTATACAAAAAATATACAAAATAGACTGTCACTATACAAAATATATACAAAATAGACTGTCATTATACAAAAAATATACAAAATAGACTGTCACTATACAAAATATATACAAAATAGACTGTCATTATACAAAAAATATACAAAATAGACTGTCACTATACAAAATATATACAAAACAGACTGTTACTATACAAAAAATATACTAAATAGACTGCCACTATATAATTTATATACAATAGACTATCACTATACAAAATAAACTGTCACTATACAAAATATATACTAAATAGACTGTCACTATACAAAATATATACTCCCTCCGTTCCAATTTATGTGAACATGTTTGACTGGGCACGAAATTTAAGAAAAAATGGACTTTTAAAATTTATGATCCTAAACAAGTCAAAAGAGGGTGCAGAGTATTTATATAGTTATAAAAGTTTCTCATTAAGGGTAGAATTGAAAAATTAAGCTAAATTGTTTTCAAATTTAGAAAGGAATCATTCTTTTTGGAACGGACCAAAAAGAATAGGTTCACATAAACTGGAACAGAGGGAGTACAAAATAGACTGTCACTATACAAAAAATATACAAAATAGACATTTCGACCTATTAGATGTAATATGTTTGGGCCGGAGGGACATTTCGTGTCAATGGAGAAAAACATGGGCTATTAAAATTTTGATGGGCTATAGAGCGTCATTTTCTCCACTGACAATGCCACCTCCCCATAATGCAAGATAAAGCATAACAGGTGAGTGGCGCAGCAGTGACCGAATTGCTAAAAGGCTGCAGAGCAAAAGTTAGACCAACAGCAGATAAAGCCGGCGTAAGAAGAGGTTCTAGCACATGTTCACCGAATACAGGTACCTATCTCCCAAGTCCCACCAACACATACTGAATAAGTCCGCCCACCAACACCTTTGCCTCATGCTTTAATGAGCTCCATAAGAACTTGGACAAATTGAGCTCAGTTGCAGCTAAACTTGCCTACTGCGCTCATGCTCCCGGGACCAATGTAGGGAGAAGAATTTGCAGATAACATATTCTAGCCCCTTGGTTGATAAGGTAATAATAAACATTCCATCACTGCAGTATTACCAAGGAGACTGCTGAGCTTCCTCCAAACACTAAGCAAATCATTATGCTAATATGCTTGGCTTTAAATTCATGCGCTTGCAACTACGTAAGGGACATGCAATTTTTCCAAGTCAATAACAAAATGACATGTTATTGACTTGAAAATATGCAGCAAAGTTTCTTCATTACCTTGTCAGACTCCAAAGAACTAATAATGCAAGATAATGAGCTAGCAAAAGATTTATCTTAACTTCAAATTTAGACATTTGTCACTATTTCAATTTACATAAACTGCAAGTATGCTAGGCTTTTATATGGTTAGAACAAAATCATATACTTGGTCAACTATACAAATACAAAATCAATACTCTAGCGTCATACATCACCAGCAGGAACCTGGCTACCATTACCTTGAAATCCTCCACTTCAACAACATTACGCCAACTTACTCAGTGGTAGCTGTAGCATTTAGGGAAAATGGGATGGTGCGAATGTCAGATTTACCAATCACACAGGGTGAAAACAAACTCTTGGATATGCTCCTTCAGGAAGAACCAAGAATTCATCGACATGTCCTTATCCTCATCCTCGACTAAGCTTTCTTCCTCTCCAACTTAGGAAACAGCTTGGGCTATACTCTCCTGGGGACGTTCTTTAATTATCTTCCTTGGTAGAGTCTGCAACAGAATGAATAAGAAATTTCAGGTCATCGCGGTACTCTTTTATCACTCAAAGCTTGAGAAATTTCAGGTCATTCCAGTAAACTTTTTATCGGTAAAGATTGTCAAAAGTTCATTTCACATTTTAAATTAAACAGGATAAGAAAGGAAAAAACCATCAATCTATAATTTAAAAAAAATGCAGCTTTGAAGAGTAGAGCGTGTTATTCTTCAGGAAAAGATCAACTTAAGTGGGCAAATAAGCATAGAAATTCTAGACAAGCAGCCAATCCATTCAATGCATCAACATTCAATTTCATTTTCATGAATTTAGACCTAAGAAAGTTAAAAGACTTCCTTTCAGATGACATTGAATGCAGGCAAAAAACCTCGAATGACTCGTGAACACTTGAATGCAAAACCAAGATCATAAATTGTTATTGAACACTTTGCCAAGAATGCCTGGGAGTGTAACAACTAACAAGCCTCAGAATGAACTTATTATAAAATTAATGGATCATTCCTCAAAAGGATGCATTTGTTAGAAATTTCGAGCTGCAAACTCCATTGCCAGCGGAACCTAAAAACAACTCTCATGATTTTTTTTATCAATGTTAAGTCTCCTCGAAATGCACTGAATTATGAATACGTTGTATCAAAGATTAAACATCCAAGAAGATCATGACTAACCAAGGTCTTAGCCACGTGAGCAACCCCCCCCCCCC